GGCGGGGGGGGCACAGCCTATGGAGGAAGAGGGAGGTAAAGAGATGATTTAAAGATGGATAAATAACATGTTTGTATAATGATAAGAAACATCCTATAGAGAGGGGAAAATATTGACAAGGGGAAAGAAGTATGAATTATTAGAATAAGTGAATGAATATTAGTGAATCTGAGAATTCAGAATTCACATATATGTAGTCTCCTTTAAAATCACAGTAAGTAACCAGAGCGTACAAAAAATGTCACAATACAAATGCTCCATCTAAAACGACTTTTAGTCGTTTTCAGTAAAATCAATTTGAGGTCCTGCAAAAGCTATTCTGGGTGGAGCCCACGAGGCTGAAACTCCCAGGTATCAGTCACCTCTTCCAGGAGACTCACAATGACCGTCCTTACCTCGGGCGCAGCCTGCCTTTTGTTGCTATCCGAATCCTCCAAGATCTGGAAATAACTGTGCATGAACTCTGCCGCTCGCTGCCATTGGTGTTTGAGCAGAGCTTCCTGGATGAAGCTTAAACAAGCACTTGTGGTCTGGGCAAAATGCTTTTCCTTCTTCCCCCTGGTCACTATAACGATTAAAGAGAAGAGCCTTTCACCCAGTAACCCCAATTCAACAGCTCAAAAACTTACTCCCCAATAGTAGTTTTAACAAGTAGAACAGTGGGTATTACTTAACCCAGCCCATCCCAAATATCAAAGCTAGCTTCACTTGAAATGAACTCTTCCACACACTATTTTAACTAATCTTAGCAAACGAAAAAAAAATCTAATTTGGAGATGTGTAATTTGATGTTCTACCAGAGTCAAGAGAGCCTTCTAAACTGACTCAGTCAATCCTTTCATTCTTGTACTGAACAATCTGGGTAGAATCTCCCCAAGAGGACCCCCGAAAGCATAGTCTGGAGTAGTTAAAATGGGGACAGATCCTTAGGGTCATCCTAGGCAAGCATCATCTTTATTACCTACCAGTGTTCTGAAAACAAGAGGTGGGCTTTTCTTTTTTAAGGACCGAATTCCCAGTAACTCAATGATATTAAATGCAAAAACAGTTGTAGACATTAGCATTTACATCCCTAAAGAATTGACAATGCTCATGTTAAGAATATTTGGAGTCAGTTACAACCCTGTTAAGGAGCAACAGGTTGCACCCTTCTCTTTCCTTTCCACTCCGCTAGGGGACCCCCAGGGGCCAGGAGTCTTCCAGCTCCGGTACCCTTACCCTGGGAGCACACGGACTAACAGGTACATGCAAAAATAGTTTTACAGCAATCAACTTGCAGATCTTCAACTTCCTCACACACTCCTTCTCTAAAGCTGATCTCCTAGAGAACTGTGCCTTTAGTGGAGGCTTCACAATCAAAAGCAGTACGTGCTGCCTTAAGGTGACTCTAACACATCCAGCGCTTAAAGACTTATGTGAGATTCCATTTCCTCACCTTTAAAAATGCCAAGCATGTAGGTTTACTGAGGATTAATTTACTGATATAATTACATGAGATGAGATTTAGATCAAAAGATCAAGAAACAGAGCTCAAGTCTAGGAGCCAAGGGGAAAGGAGTTTTGGAGATCTTGCTTCCCAGCAACTGTCTTCAGTTTGGGCTCAAATAAACACTTACAGGAAGTTCTTTTAATTTTATTTATCTGAGAACACTTCCTAGGTATGTACTCAACGGCAGAGACCGTATCTTCATCTACGTATCCCCAGTATTTAGCCAATGCCAGGGATATAAGTGCTCAGTTTGTTTTTTTTTAATTTTCAGTTTTAAAAAAACAACTTGGCCCGGCCGGGTGCGGCTCAGCAGTTGAGCGTCCACCTAGGATCCAGGGGATCAGGGTTCGATTCCCGGTCAGGGCCCATGCCGGGGTTGCAGGCTCAATCCCCAGTGGGAGGCGTGCAGGAGGCAACCAATCAATGACTCTCTCATCGATGTTTCTATCTCTCTCTCCCTCTCCTTTCCTCTCTCTAAAATCAATATAGATTTTTTTAAAAATAATAATAAAAACAAAAAAATAAAAAACTTGTATCTACCATAATACAGGCTGTTATTAAATCAAAGGAAAAGAATCCCAAAAGAAAACAGAATTTATTTCTTATTATTTCCTTTCTGCTATAGCCTAAGAAACCCTCATACATTTATGCCTCTCTTACGAAGTGAACCGAGGGCGTTGCATCCCTAGTGAATCTCACCCCCTCGGTGAAACGGCTGCGCACGGCTCTTACCCACGCCTTCTATGTGCTTCTGGAGCCACGGAAAACACATCCCCGAGCCGGAGCGAACCCCCCTTGCCCCCGGGTCGTCCTCGGCCGTGGGCCCTCGCAAGTCTTCGCTGAAATCGCTCATGCCTACTGCGAACGGAGAAGATCAGTTACTTTCTGCACATCTTGAACCCACAGCCTTCTGAGTCATACAGGAAAACATTGTTTTATTTAGTAAATATCATTTGATCGGCAAAATTAATTGTACCTGGGAGTGCCTTTAAAAAACATATAAGATGAAATTCTCCGGTTGGCAGCACGGGTTCTAAGTAACGGGGATGTGAACCACGCGCACGTGCTGTAAGGCGTCCTTACAGAGGCGGCTCTCCCCAAATCCTCCGAGGCAACGGAGGCGTCGCGCGCTCGCCGGGCTCCCCAAAGCCTCCCCACCCGCTGCCTCCTCCTCAGAGCCCGAGGCGGGCAGCGCCGGGAGGAAGAATCAGCAGGGCGCGGGCCAACCCCCGCGCAGCCCCTCGGGCCCCGCCCTGACCGCGGGCAGTGACGGACGGAGGACACCCGCAGCACCCACGGGCCCCCGGCCAGACCTCGCCTGCACCCCGGGCGCGGTCCCGGGGTCCGCCCCTGC